AGATATCAAGGGACATGATGGAAAGGGGCCATGACCAGGACGCACTGCAGTGCAGGGTTAAAGTGAAGGAGCTGCGGAATGCCTACTGCAAAGCCCGTGAGGCAAACCGCTGCTCTGGTGCCGCCCCCGCAACCTGCCATTTCTACAAAGAGCTGGACGCAATACTTGGGGGCTACCCCACCTCCACTCTGAAGACCACCATGGACACTTCAGAGCCCAGTTCAACAAGGCAGAGGAGGAGGAAAGCGGGAGCGAGGGTGCTGAGGAGGAGGGAGACAGCCCGACATCCCTAGATGCATGCAGCCAGGAGCTGTTTTCAAGCCAGGAGGAAGGTAGCCAGTTGCAGTGGACAATGCTTGGGGAAGAACAAACACCAGAGGAGGTGCCCAATAAGTGGCCTTTATTTTGGGAAGGAAGTTGTTCGGTGCGGGCTCTTGGGACGAGGCGGGTTAGGGCTGCATGCATGCCTAGATGCGGAATAGGGTGTTGATGTGCTCTCTCACATTGCTGTAATCGGCCTCAGTGATCTCTTCAAAGGTCTCATGCAGAAGCTGGGCAATCCGCTTGCTCAAGTTCCTTGGCAGAGCTACTGTGCTCCTTGTCCCAGTAAGGTAACATGTCCACGCCACTGTGCTGTGACGGGCAGGGGGACCATTGCTGCACACAGGCAAGCTGCATATGGGCCAGGGTGGAAGCCGCATTGTAGTAGAAGACCCTCCCTTGCTTCCCAGGTCACCCTCAGCAGCGAGATATCTTTCAGGACGAACTCATCCTGTGGAAAATGTGGCAACAGTGTTCAGTATAGGGGCCCCCTGCAGCTGTTGGCTCTCCCCAAGGCACAGAACCCCAGAGGACAGTACGGCCATGAAACAATCAGTCCCTCTTGCCCCTGTGTCTACTCACCATTTTGGGGCTCCTGTGGGTTATGTGCACTCACTTTGGGATGGGCAATTTCTGCTATTGTGTACACTGTGCTTGTCTTTAAGTATGGCCGAGTCATTGCTCTGTCTGGTGTGAACAATGCTGCCTCTGTTAAGTGTTGCATTTTGGCTTTACAGATGCAATCTTGAGATCCCAGTCGTCCTTGTTATCAACGGCCAAAAGACTCCAAAGAATCAGGAAGCGGACGCGAAGAAGCAAAGAGGACATGCTGTATGAAGTAATGCAGCAGTCCCTTAACGAAAATCAAAAAGTGCAGGAGTGGCAGGAGAGTGAAAGGAGGGTCCGCCAGCAGAATGCAGATTGCTTGCACCAAAGCACGGAGCGGACTCGATACAGGCGCTCGTAGCAATGCAGGCGGAGCACTTCCGTGCCCGCCCACCCCCCCACCCCCCCGCAGCCTTTGTCCCAAAACTCTTTCCCTTGTGTCCCCATGTCACCGCCCAACCCACTTTCCCCAACATCCGGGTTCTTATCACCACCAGCTGCCTCCAACATCTGTGGCTTTAACACCCAGCCCTGCAAACTACGACCCTTACCCACTGCACTCAACCCCCATCACCATCCATTCTAGCCAGCCTGAAGTGCAGCACTCATTGCACAGCACTCCAGAGAAGAAGGCTGAGTATGATAACAGGACATACGCAAATCTGTGATTGTCCCATTCCCCACCCCACCCCCTTCCCTCGTCCCAAACAGCACAGATGAGTCATGCCCTTTCTGTTTCCCAAGCAGTTGTGTTTCTTTTCAATAAATGAATTTTTTGGCTTTGAAAACATTCTTTATTATTGCATTAAGTAAAAGATACCATAGCCTAGGAAAGCAACAGGCACTGCAAGTCAGTGCATCATACGTAGTAAACACAGATTCCTACTAACATTGGAAACACTGCACTTCACTCCCGTGCAGGGCACCAAACATTACTGGTGGCTTTCAACCTCAGATTGCTCCCTCAAGGCATCCCTAATCCTTGCAGCCTCATGCTGGGCCCCTCTAATAGTCCTGCTCTCTGGCTGTTCAAATTCAGCCTCAAGGTGTTGAACCTCCGAGGTCCATGCCTGAGTGAATCTTTCACCCTTCCCTTCACAAATGTTATGGAGGGTACAGCATGCGGATATAACCGTGGGGGTGTAGTCATCGGCCAGATCCAGCTTCCCATACAGACAACGTCAGTGGCCCTTTAAATGGCCAAAAGCACACTCCACAGTCATTCTGCACTGACTCAGCCTGTTGTTGAACCATTCCTTGCTGCTGTCAAGGCTCCCTGTGTAGGGTTTCATGAGCCATGGCATTAAAGGGTAAGCGGGGTCTCCAAGGATCACTATGGGCATTTCGACTTCCCCTATGGTGATCTGGTCTAGGAAGAAAGTCCCGGCTTGCAGCTTCCTGAACAGGCCTGTGTTTCGAAAGATGCGCGCGTCATGAACCTTTCCGGACCAGCCTGTGTTAATATCAATGAAACGTCCACCGTGATCCACAAGCGCCTGGAGAACCATAGAGAAATACCCCTTCCGATTTATGTACTTGGAGGCTAGGTCGGCTGGTGCCAGAATTGGAATATGCATCCCATCTATCGCCCCTCCGCAGTTAGGGAAACCCATTTGTGCAAAGCCAGCCACAATGTCATGCACATTACCCAGAGTCACGGTTCTTCTGAGCAGGATGCGATTAATGGTCCTGCAAACTTGCATCAACATGATTCCAACGGTCGACTTTCCCACTCCAAACTGGTTAGCGACTGATCGGTAGCTGTCTGGAGTGGCCAGCTTCCAGATTGCAATAGCCACCCGCTTCTCCACCAGCAGGGCAGCTCTCAATCTCGTGTCCTTGCGCCACAGGGTGGGGGTCAGCTCAGCACACAGTCCCATGAAAGTGGCTTTTCTCATCCGAAAGTTCTTCAGCCACTGCTCGTCATCCCAGACTTCCACGACGATGTGATCCCACCACTCAGTGCTTGTTTCCCGAGCCCAAAAGTGGCGTTCCACCATTGTGAGCATGTCCGTGAATGCCACAAGCAATCTCATGTTGTATGCGTTATGCGAGTCAACATCATCGTTGGACTCCTCGCTGTCAGTTTGTAGCTTAAGGAGTGACTTGACTGCAATTCGTGACGTGCTGGCAAGATTCGTCAGCATATTCCTCAGCAGTTCGGGATCCATTCCCGCAGACCGAAAGGGAAGACAGAGCGCGCAGTACAAAAAATGTTGAAAGATGGCGCCAAATGTGGACGGAAGCACAGGGATTGCTGAGATGCAAACCGATGGATCACAGGGCATTGGGACAGGACCCAGAATGCCCCACACCCGCACGCCCCCTTCCCACAAGCCACAGCGCCAGAATGGGAAGAGGTGCTCTGTGGGATAGCTGCCCATAATGCACCACTCCCAATGCTGCTGCAAGTGCCGCAAATGTGGCCACGCCAATGTGCTTGCAGCTGACAGTGTGAACACACTGCAGCGCTTTTTCTGCTGCGGTCTCCGAGGGCTGGTTTAACTCACAGCGCTCTACATCTGCAAGTGTAGCCATGCCTTTGGAAACAATCTTACATTGGCCCTAACATGTCTCTTCCATCCCCAACTTCTAAGGGCTTGTGTACACTTAAATAAATGCTACAGCTGTGCCGCTGTAGTGCTTCAGTGTAGACACTACCTACGCCAATGGGAGGGATTCTCCCATGGACGTAAGCAATCCACCTCCCTAAGAAGTGGTAATTAGGTTGATGAAAGAATTCTTTGCTTGACCTAGTGCTGGCTATAGGAGGACTTAGGTTGACTTAATTACGCTGCTCAGAGGTGTGGATTTTTCACACCCCTGATCCATGCTGTTAAACTAATCTAATTTTCTTGTGTAGACCAGGCCTAAGATTTTGTACCTACTTGCACAACTATGATTGCCCTAGTTGACTGAGAGTTTATCAACAACATGCTCAAGCAGTTTTGTCAATCCCAAAAATACAAAAATCATGAGATTGTCTTAAAAATCGTGAGATTATTTTAAAAATAATGAATAGAGAGTTCTTTTTATTTGCCTTGTGCTTTCTGAGTCATTAGGGTATCCCGTGGGCACGTTTTCCAACTTTTCTCTGGGAGTATGAAGGGTAGAAACTTGGTTTTTTTAATCTGAGATTCTGGTGTGTTCACTGGACTACTGGAGCCTGAGTTGGTAACACTGCAAATTAATGACAAATCTGTGCATCGATGGACGAGCTACAATTTAGCTTCCATCCTAGCTCAAGGCTGTCGCTAAGACAGTAGGATGGGCCAAATTGTGCCATCACAAAGCACTGCGTTTGTCACTAAAAGAATCGGGACCTGAGAGCAGGACCGGCTTTAGGCCGATGCCCCTGATTCTGCGGAATCAGGCCCTGCGGGTAAGAGGGGCCCGCGCCTAAGAGGGCCCCACGCCTTAGGCTCACCCGGCGCCGGTCCGCTCCGGCAGCATTTCGGCGGCGGGGGGGTGGGTCCTCTCCGGGGTCTTCGGCGGCGAGGGGTCCTTCAGTGCTGCGGAACACGTGGAGCGGACCCCCCCACGCCAAAGTGCCGACGACGACCCGGACCACCGCTGGGTATTCGAATCGGGCCCCACAGGGCCTAAAGCCGGCCCTGCCCGAGAGCCTTGCTTGTGTCCAAACTCAACTCAGTCAAGAAAAAGGTTGTGATTGTGATTCCTGGGCAGCGGGATTTACAACAATCCTGGGCCAGCTTCTTTCCGTCCCTATTTATATCACAAGACTGTGTTTATTGCTAGGCACACTCAGACACCCCCCCCCCCCGGGTGCCCCGCCCCTTCAGCCAACGCCCATTGAAGTCAACGGGACTCTTGGCCTTTCACTCCCGAGGGCGGCCCCGGCCGCTGCCGACTCGCCTCTCAACCAGCAGGGGGCGCGCGCCCCGCAGCAGCCAAGGCATCACCTTGGCCGCAGCCGACAGTCGGACCCGAAAGAGAACGCAAAGCCCCGCCCACTCTCCCCTCCCCCCTCAAGCCCAACCGTCCAACACCAAGCGCGCCCATTGGCTGCTCAGCCCGGCCTCGCTTAGGCTCTGTCCAATAGGCAGGAGGGAATCGGGATGGGAGCTGGGGAGGATCATGGCGGATCGGCTAACGCAGTTGCAGGACGCGGTGAATTCGGTGAGGTTGGAGCCGGGGCAGCTCAGATCGGGGTTAGGCCGAGTCGGCTCCCGCCGTGCTGCGCCGAGCGCGCGTCGGTCCCTGCGTCTCCGAGTCGTTCCCGTGCCCTGGGGGGAGGGATTCTGGGCCCCGCGGGGGCGGGGTAACAAACCTGAGGCGTCTGCTCCCTCCCGGAGCGGGGATGACGGTGGAGTCGGTTTGAAAACAAAACGCGGAGGCCGTTGGGTTTTTAAGCGTTCTCGGCTGGTCTCGCGCCCCCCTCCCCCTGTGAAGCTTCGCGGGGGCGCCCCACGCTGAGCTCGCGCCGCCCCGGGGCTCGCCTCTCCCCGACCGCGCGCCAGCACTGAGCTCGCTGTTGCCAGTGTGAGGAATGGCCAGAGCAGCCCGTTCCTGGGGCAGGGGGGTTTCTCCGTCCCGGGCTGCTGAGGGGGGACGCTGCTTTTCCAGGGAGTCGCCCCCAGAGGAGCAGCCCTGCAAGCTCCTTAAGTCACTCTTTCGGCTCCCTCTTGAAATGGCTGGTTTGAGCCTGAACGCTTTGTTAAAAAGGACTTGCCCGTGTGAGACTGAAGCCATGTGTCTACTCTACTCCAGCGAGCCTCTCTGATAGGTGCTGGTGAGAGGACACTGCTCCCTCTCTATCTCTGATCGCAATAATCTTCCCACTTAATTTCACCGGGCTCAGTAACTGGCTGGGTAGCACCTATCCATGCGGCCAGGGGAATGGGAGAAAGCATTTTATCTCTGCAGCGGGCTGAGCTGCTAAAGGCCAGGATGTAGGAACCAAAATTTTGTCCTGGACTTGAGTATGCTAATGGTAGCATCTTAATTAATCCCTGATCCTGCTAGTTGATCTGTGGGAGTGGACAGTTGCATTGTCATGGGGTCCCAGTGCAATCAGAGTCGTCCACTTGCACAGAAGGCAGGATTGGGATCTTCACTACAGCCTAGGATTAACTATTTTCATTTATTGAAGTGCAATTCTATGTAATAGTGGTTGGGGCAAAAAGTTTAAACTGACTATCTTTAGTGTAAATACAGACTAAAATGATAGTATGATTGTGTAAACCTATTTCATCTTGCCTGTAGCTTGCAGATCAGTTTTGTAATGCCATTGGGGTATTGCAGCAATGTGGCCCACCTGCCTCCTTCAGTAACATTCAGACAGCGATAAACAAAGACCAGCCAGCTAATCCTACAGAAGGTCAGTTTTACGTGTGTCCATTAACTAAACATGATTACTCTCTAGTAAAATAGTAGTGTCAGTTTAGAATTAAGTAACTTCAGGCTTAAGAAACTTTCTTTGGAAGTTGTAACAGTTGTTGTGATTCAGGCCAAGTTATGGATAATTGCACATTCTGTAGGGAAGTGAATTGATTGAGACGTGAAATATTTTTTGACAAAGCTAAGCACAGAAATGTGTGTGTCTCATGGTCCTTTTTTTATATAGATCTAATAATACAAACATCAGTCATTTTATAAGGATCACTGTTATGAGGAGATTCTTAGTGTTCAGGAAACTTCTGTTTCTAAAAGCCAAACCAAGTATGTACTAGTCTTTTGAAATTTTACATTAGTTTGAGTATAAAGCTTATCTATCTATCTGTCTGTCTATGTTTTTGCTTTTAATGTTTTTGGAATAATACCTTCTCTCTAATGTCTGCAATTATAAAAGTTAACATCCATATTAGTTTACCAAAAACTCTTTTCCATCTGTACTTGTTTATAGATTAATTCTGGCCATTTTTCTAAAGATAAAGTATATGATCTAATATTATCATACTTCATATGAAAAAACAAAGCAAGCTGGGAAGAAAGCTCAGTCATATGGATATGTGATATTTAAAAATATTTATTTATATGCTCGGGATGGCCCTAATTTTTTGAATATTTTAAACGTGGCTTTCTAGTTAAGACACATTATATGCCTAAATGGCTCTTTAGTCCCCTATATTTTACACGTGTCTTGGATCAGATTAGGCCTGACCTCAGGAATCTCAACTGAGGCTAGCACAGTGCACAAATGATGCTCTGTTGCAGTTCTGGAAAACTGTCAACCAGTCCTACAGTGGCCTATAAGGGCTTGCCATCTGATATTGGAGACAGCTGTGAGGAGCTAGTTAAAGGTGCAAAAAGCAGAGCTTTCGCTTGCTCCCTTTCTAGTGGCAGCTGGTCCAGTGTCAGGTACTGGTATCTGCTAAGTGATGATTCAGGAGCCCAAGTTTTTGTTTAAGGTTTAAAGACATTAGATCATGTAAGATGACTTGATCTAACAGTCTTAAACTAGACAAGGCAAGTTGTATTTCAGCATATTGTAACTGTTCAAGTTAAAGTCCAGGTTCTAGACGGGCCACAGTTTTCTTGGCAGATCAGTCTCCCTGTAAGTTTATCTTTGAAAGCTTAAGTACAATCTGTAGAACTTTAATATTTCTATATCAAGGTGATATATGGTGATGGCACAGTACACATTTAAGTAAACATTGTCATTTTGAAATAGTCAAGTTTGAAAATATAGTTTACTACACCTATCCCCGAGTTTTATAGTCTGTTTCCTATCTTAAAATTTTCTCTCCCTTGCAGCTGTGTGAGAGACCTATACAAACAGGGGAAACAGTGAATATGACTAAAAGTATGGCAAATGTACAAAGTAAGCCGAGGAAATACAGCTCTCCCTCTTAATTTTTTAGCTATAATAACCTGGGGTTTTACATGTAACATGATTTAAAACATTTTCATTCAGAGTTGACTTTAAACTAGCAATATCCTTTTGAAAGTACGCCACACATTTTCATGTTATTTAGAAGTTAAATTAAAATCCTGTCACTAACAAAGTGATAACTAAGCTTTTCCAGGTGCATTTGTACATTAACAAAGTAAAAGTGTTTTAAGTTTAAGTGGTAAAATTAATTGTCGTAGTTGTAAATCTATTAAGCAACCATATTAAGAATCCTTCTTCTTTTGATCTGTTACCAAGTTGGTGTAAACATTTAATAAATTTCACACTTTAATCGCATTATCCTTATCTAATCCTTACTCTTTTTTAACTAGCACAATGGCCAAATTCAAGGAAAGGATTGAAAGAGTAGAGCAGGGGTAGGCAACCCATGGCATGCGTGCCAAAGGGGGCACGCGAGCTGATTTTCAGTGGCACTCACACTGCCCAGGTCCTGGCCACTGGTCTGGGGGGGCTCTGCATTTTAATTTAATTTTAAATGAAGCTTCTTAAACATTTTAAAAGCCTTATTTACTTTACATACAACAATAGTTTAGTTATATATTATAGACTTATAGAAAGAGACCTTCTAAAAACGTTAAAATGTATTACTGGCACGCGAAACCTTAAATCAGAGTGAATAAATGAAGACTCGACACACCACTTCTGAAAGGTTGCTGACCCCTGGATTAGAGCATCTCGATGCTCCAGAATATGTAACATATTGTAACTGGAATGTTTGATATGCAGCTAGAATGCAGTAATTGGTTTAAGAGCTGCCTTATTTTGTAAGGAGACTGCTATTCCAATGCCATTGTTTAGATTGTTTAAGATAGGATTTAGAATCAATCTTTGAACATTAGCATGTACTAGATTTGTTTGAGATGGAAGATATTGCCACTGTCTTTAATACAGGAAAGAGTTTTTAAAGTTTTAGAATACATTGGAGTTAGAAATCAGTGTAAGTCTTCTAGAATTCGGAGTAAAATTCTAGGTCATTTGTTCCTGCAATGAGCACTAAGTTTATCACAGTTCTCCTCTAAAAAGGTAAACTAAATTGTAATAGATATTGTAATAGTCTGATCTGATTTTTTTTTTTTTAATAGAATATGCTCAGTTGTTTGCAGCATTGATTGCACGAACTGCTAAGGATATTGATGTTTTAATAGATTCATTACCTAGTGAAGAATCAACAGCAGCTTTGCAGGTAAGAATATCACTAAAATCTAAAATACTTGAAACACACCAAAAAAATCTCCACCCTCTTAGTCCCTTCTGGATATCCCAGCCCAAAGTAGCAGGTGGCGTAAAGGATATAATCTTAGCTCAGTTTAAAAAAAAAAAAAAAAAGTTTGAGGGAATGTTTTGTCCACCACTCCCTCTCCCCAAGAAAAAAGTACCTGTAATGAACCACTTCATTTATTGGAAATATTACATAGCCTAACTTAAAACTTGAAGCAGGATGGGAAGGCTTAAACCTTGGAACTCTGAGCTATATTAAATTCATTTTTCTTTTCACAGGGCTCCTAAAGAAACTGCCCTCTCCATCACCATCTGAAACTACTTTTGAGAGCCATGTGTTTTTTTTTCAGTTAATATTTAAACACACAACTGTTTTAATATATCTTTTGTTTTTCTCTTATTAAAAGAAACTGGCATGTTTTCTGGCTCTCAAAGCAGGTTTCATCCAATCTCTGTAAGAGCATGTCACAAGCGAGTTTCACTTAAACGCTGTATCTGACATGGTCCTATTGTTTTGTGTCTAGACCACTCATTTTCTAAAGGACTTTCAGCATTTCTGAAATGTTACAGTTCTTTCCACTTCTTGGCTCCATAAGGAAACCTTCCTGCAGGTCAGCAGATCAAACTTGCTTCCCCAAACCTTTTTCCCTCCGAAGGGCCCATGTGCATCCTGCTAGGGTCTCTCCAGCAATCAGTCCTACCTCTCAAAATAGTTTACTGCAATGCTCATCTCTTTCTGCAAGTCTTGCTTGGTGGCCCTCCTTTCTTGCCCTTCCTAGCCCTAGCTTCTGGGTTTTTGGTTTTAAATTACTTTGTGTAAATATGTGTACAAAGACAAGCCCTAATTCCCTATGCTACACTGAAGCAATTTTAAGACCGATGAGTAAACTTTGTATTTTCAGTTCTTGGAGATGAGTTGATAGTCTGAGTTGCAGAAGATAGCTGCAGATTACTAAAGAGATTAGACATATCTTAAACTGGAGAAGCATAAATAAGGCTTAATAAATACTGTTCAAATAGTTTAAGGATATTGAACAAAAGTGCTATGTTCTGCTAGATCTCTAGTTATAGTAGTATCTAAACATATTAGTTACATTAAAAACTCAGACCATGTAAGCATCAGTGTAATTTCACAGTCCATATAAATAAGATTAAAATCTATTCAGGTTATCTGCAGACATACCACAGATTATGATCTTGTCATGTTTCATAGCTGAGCCATATCTGACCCTAATGACACTTGTGTGGGAAAACCAAGGCACTAGAGCAGGGGTCCCCAACGTGGTGCCCGCGGGCATCCATGTGCGCCCACCTACTGGCTGCCGGACAAGCAGTCGCCGAAATGCCGCTGTGAAGCGGCAACGTCAAGAAGCGCTACCGCCAAAATGTTGCCGCTTCACGGTGGCTGCTTGTCCGGCTGCTAGTCGTTCGGCGCCCGCCCCACGGAAAAGGTTGGGGACCACTGAACTAGAGAAACTGGTTTTGATGACCCAGTAGACAGCATGCTTTCCTCTGAGCTGATATTGTACCAGTGCCTATACCTGATTTTTAGCGGCCACTGCATTTCCATTTTCAAAAAAAGACTTTGACCAATGCCTGTGATAATTAAAGATTCCATGGCCCCTTTGTGCAAGGGTAGATGTTAGTCCTGGTCAAATTGTCCTCTGGTTACACTTCCAATTGGATATGGCTTTTTGTTTATTCTTTACTTCCATTCTTAAATTGGTGTGTTGTCGCAAACAAATATCACAATCCACTCTTACGGGGCTATGTTATAGGGATGGATGAAGTTGGCTGAACGCTTACCTCAGTAAAACAGTGGAGGTTCTAAAGGTGCAATATATATATTTATTGACACTAATGCGTAACTTAAAATGTAGCTGGACTTGAAACCTAATTTTATGAATTTATCCTAAATGATGTTGTTCGTCCTTCGAGTTCGAAGATGACATCACTGATTGGTTTATTTCTGTGAACATGTAAGTGGCTGATAGGTCAGTTTGAGCTTTGAACTGTCCGTAGCACGCCAGCAGCATAACTCTCACAACAGTAGCATGTTCGCTGTTAATCAAGTAACCCTTAGCTGCATTTCTTGTTCAGTGTGCCACAGACAGTATGCTGAACATATAGATAGGGCTGCCACATTTGTTCACCCAAGACATGACTTTTTTTCACTTTTCTGTTCAGATAGCTAGTCCATTACCACATCTTTAGTATAAATGCCCATATTTTAGCTACCGTCACATGTCATACGATTTACAGTTAAATTATTGAACAAATAGTTGGATTCTAATTCCCATTGTCCTCCACATGTATATGTCTAATGGCCCTCACTGCGGGCACTGGCTGTGCAGTTCCAAAGATGAGCTTGTTGGGGAATGTAGTACAAAGTAATTAACACTGTGAGATCTGAAAGTCTTACAACTTACTCATTTCTTTTGAGTAGGGTCAAAGATTCTGATTTTTGTTTGTTAAAGCTGAAATTGAGTTAATCTAAAATTGGCAATCTGAGGTACAAAAACATCTATTTTTGTTGATGAATTTAATCTCCACGCAAGGAGTGCATTTTTAGATGGCAAACTTATAATAGGTAAATTATAGTCATGGACTCCAGCAGAGAATGACTGATGTAGGAGCTAAAGATGGGGCTCTTACTATGTTTCATCACGGGCATGGACAACTCCTCCATCCATCCCCTTGAAGAAAACTCTGCCTTATGTGATGTTCAAGATCGCCTAACTTTTTTTTCTTTTGTATTTAAAGGCTGCTAGTCTGTATCGGTTAGAGGAGGAAAACCATGAAGCAGCTGCCCGTCTGGAAGAGGTTGTTTATCGTGGGGATATGCTACTAGAAAAGATACAGAGTGCGCTAGCAGATATTGCTCAATCACAGCTGAAGACCAGAAGTGGTACTCATAGCCAACCTGTTCCAGATTCATAGCAGCAGGGGGCAGCATTTTGCTGCAAAAGTGAACTATTAGATTGTGAATAAAATCATATTTTTGAAAAATTTCTGTATCAAACACTTACAGTAATTGAGCCATACTGTTGTGTAAATATTTTGAGTGAACTGATTATGGTAAAAGCATGTCACTTGTGAAAGCCTAAAAGTCTTCTTTATAAAGCGTCAAGTTTGGTATGCAAAGCATTTATAAACTAAGAATTGGTGTTCGTGTTGCTGGCACTGCACATTTAATGCATTTCCTTTATTTTAAAATACTATTTTTTTTTTTAAGTTTAGCTTCTCTTATGCATAGATGTGTATCTAATGGGCTGTCATCTTCACAATGTAAATTTGTATATTCCTACTGGGGAGTAAGGGAAAATTCTTTCTCAGCATATTTTTGGTAACCTCTCTCTCCTCTAAATCTTCAAGATTAGGGTGTCTTATTTTATTGTGAGGCTTTTGCAGGAAATAGAGCTTCACTGTGCAGAGTTCTATGAGCAAAGTGCTGTGCATTCTGAGGTTGTTCCAGTGCTCACCTCCTGCATTGCTGTATATACTGTTTAATTACCATTTCTACTGTGACACTTTGGCATACTTATTACTTGACTGTATTTTATCTTCTTTGGCTGCAAGCTAGTATACAGTTTTCTTGCCAGCTGCATCCTGTTAAATGGGATTGTGGAGCAGTAGTGATTCCTGATGGACTTCCTGGTTCCTTGCAGGCTGCTAGCAGGTCATATGGGATTGGCTGTACCCCTTTGCTTCCGGCTGCTTCTACACATGCTAGGTTTCTCATGACAAAGAGTGTGCCTGTAAAAGCAGATGCTCCTGAAGAGGAGCTGCTGGTTGTTGTTGCATCAGAGGAGTTGGAGAAGAAACAAAAGGTGTCCAGTAGGGATAGAAGCCAGCAATGGAAGCTAACTTCCTTTCTAATATTTCTCTTGTGTAAGCAGTTGCTGTAGCCACTCCTTGAACATTGTGTGAGGTGTAAATATGAAAGGAGTAGTCCCTGAGATATTCGAGTTCTTCTATACTGAAAAAAATTGTGCCCCTAATGGTGTGAATTAAAAACAGAAAAATTGTGCTCGATTCAAACAGTGTAAGCTTTTAGGGATGTTTGGATCAATATTTGAACTTTGTGGCATAAGTACGGGAGTGTACACCCTTCTCCCTTAGCAATCTAAAAATTTTACTTTGGCTACTTTGTTGTTGAAGATAGACTGGCTTCTCTTGGAGTCTGTGTGTATATAGTCTACTCATTTTCCTGATTCAAATTGTTTGAGTACCGGTCAAAATTTCCCTAATGTACATGGAACTGTTATGCTTCTATTGTGTTCAGCTGGTCTGAAACAATTTGTTTTTTGGCAACCTACCAATGGCAATGGATGCAAGGAGCCATACACCCATTAAATGGTGCTGTAAAAGGAAGAGTGGAGCAGGTCATGGGACACGCCTTGTACACTTACAACTGTAACAGTATGCTGTTCTAAAGAGGACTTTCACAATATAATTAAATACAAAGTGGTAAGTACTGCTTGTTGTTGCTAAAATGGAAATGTAGGATTTAATCACACTTAAATGGCGAACTTCACCTGCTATTGTGAGACTCCTGCAATACAAGGAAGAAAGGAAACATGGTCTATTAATTCAAATAAAAGTGGGGCCCATGCTGTGGTCCCAGCTATGCCATAGGCTTCTTTTGTCTCTTGGTAAATCACTAGAGCTCAGTCTTTCACAAATATGTACTAATTTTAGGTGCTGACTCTGAGGGCCTGACTCTTTTCTTTTTTTAAATAGATGTCAGACACCAACTGCAATTGAAGTCATGGGAGATGTGCTCAGCACATCTAAAAAAACATGCTCATGTCTCAAGTTCTGTGCCCTAAAAGTGAGGTACTAAAATTAATGAACACTTAACTTGGAGCTAGCCATCTATTTTCTCATCTGTAAGATGGAGAAGTCTTCCCAATCTCACAGGAGTTTTGAGGTTTAATATATTGCTATAGGAGTTCAATAGAGATGGATTAAATGGCATGGTAGCCCAAATCTTGAATTCACACTCTCAAATGGATTCCCTAATTACATTTTAACATCTGTGTAGTTGCACAATGGCTCTAAGATCTGTGTTGTCAGCTATTTACTTGCCAGAAGTAAACCCAAGCTCAATATTTCTTAGCCATTCAGAAGTTCTCTTTGCATGGTTACATCATCCTTGGATACTTCAGTTTTGTGCTCTTTGTGTTTCAATATTTCCTTGTTTAAAACGTTGCCTTAGTGTAGTATTTTCTTCATGCTTGCTGCTTACTCTAGTATATTAATGTGCCAGCCACCTTTATATTAAAGTGCGTACTGGTTTCAACAGCTATTTCTGTTCTGCATGTGAAGAACTTTAACTCTTACGCTGGTGGAACGTAGGGCATGCAGACATTTTGTGTGTCCCCTTGATGTCTAGCTCAGCATTTCTACTAAAATGTCAACATTTGCTTATTGACAATATAATAAAAATAAAACAAAGCAAGGAAATTGGTTAAATGCTTCGTTTTTTTTTTTCTTTTTAAAGAGGGTGAGTGTTTTTCAGTTACAACTTCTAAAACACACTTCCATCTGTTACTCAGCATTGGTGGGTCACATACTGATGTGCATGAGTCCCACATTGCAAACTTTCACCTGCACTTTATAACCTAACAGCTCAACCTACACCCCCTTGCTTCTGTTGTCCGGTCTGAGTCATAGGCAGGTCTGCAGCACAGAATGGGGGAAATAAGGATGATTCATATAACAAGTAGTAATATGTTATGGCAGTGCTTTCATAGACAACATTTGTTTCAGTACTAATGGAAAGTGGATTAAAACTAGTATTCCCAAATTTACTGGTTATGTTCAGGACAAGGTAGAGCTTGAAAGCATGGAACTGCTTGCATAAAAGGGGAGGGCCTGAGGCTGTGCAGTGCAGTCCTGCCCCCCCCCCCCAACCAATACATAAGTGTGTAAGGAGTAATTTAGCTCAACTGGGGGTTGGGGGGGAGAGAAGTGACAGCAGTAATGATCCTTGAGATTTGTCACGGCCTCAGTTTGGTAGTAGAGATAAAGGAAAGCTGTTGGTGCAGCTCAGCAGCACCTTGGAGGGAAGAAATGAAGCAGTGGAAGCCATCTGGAAGTTGAGGGTGACTGCCTGCATATGTAATGTGTATCTCACCATGCTGTCTAGGAATAGTAAAAGGGTCTATGAATTGCACTTTAAGTCTTATTGAGCCTTTAAGGATGGAGGTTGTATATCTTCATCTTCATAATGAGGTGCATTTGAAAATTAGGAGTCTCCCTTTGTCTTTAGCTGCCTTATTCTGATGTTTATGAGGACATCTTGCAACCACATGTTTGGACCACCCCAATATTAGCTGTGCTGAGGCTTAGTGGTAAACTAAGCTACACTTCAAAGATGCCCCCCCCTCCAAAAAAAAATCCCAAAAATGAAATCTTAAAAAAGTAAGAAGTTGGGTTCTCTTTATTTGGCTTATGGTTTCTGAGCCTACAGTTTAGATCTGCTTCATTATCTGTGTCTGCGCCTCACAAAGTCTTGAGAGAAGGCACTTTATTCTAGCTGAGATCTTTATTACCTCCACCAAATGGCTCAGAATCTGCTCAAAAACATAATAGGACACAGCAAATATTAGAAAAATCTGAAATCTCTTTTGGTCCCTAGCAAACAGAACTCATTTTTTCCACAGAAGCCAGAATAAATGGAGACATGCTGTTATGGAAAGAAAAAAAAATGTTGAGCAAGAGGTGAAATAGCTTTGAATATTGGGCTCGACAAGTAATACTTCCCAAGGAACAAATTGTGCTTTGAGGAAAGATGACCCAGCACTTAATGGAAGATTCCAGTGAATAATAATTTAAATCACTTCAACTGAGCAAGAGCATTTTATGCTGAGAATCCACAGCACCCATTAGCAAAGATTGCAATCAGTTGAATAAAAAATGGCTGCTTGAAATCTCAGATTCTTTACTATAAACATCTATGCTAGGAGGACAGGAACTCCTCCCAGTGCCCATTCAGTTTCAGCAAAATAAGCTATCAGACTAGAGTGGGGTAAATTCAGAAAGAAAAGTACTTTCAAATAGTGTGAATTCACATCTCTTCTGTATTTTTAGTCCTGTATTATTCACAGACATTGAGGTGGGTGACTTATTTGCAATAATAAGTGTCTCAAGCACTAATGGGAACAAATACTCAGAGGTATATTAGCATCAGAAGGGGTTCATAGCTCTTAATGAGTATGAAAGAGGAAAGGAGGAATGAAGTTGTAGAGGAGCTATGTTGGTGTTGTGTTGTTTTCCCTACTGTACTATTCAATCAAAGGTTATTTTTTCCTGTAGGCAAAGCAATGGAATAGATAAGAGTATTAATATCAGTCTCATTCCTAGTGATGACCATCAGGGTGCTCTCAAAGGTCTCATAAGAAACTGCATAGAAACCCATTCATCATAGAGCTGGTCTAATGTGGAATGTGAAATTCCACACTAAAGTGGTGATGGTGAGGTTGATGTTTTATCTGAAGCCCTGAGAGAACATGGCATGCAGGATCTGCATCCTGTAATTACAGAAAATCAATCGTGTAATATACCCATCTGCTCCTACCAGATGATCCCTAGTCAGTGCTCCAGACAAAGAGAAACTTCATTATAATCACTTCTAGATCACTACTGTGCCATAAAGGGAAATAAATTATATTTCTGTATATACACAGTTTGTTAAATCTATTTACATATGAAACAATGGAAGCCCTGTCACTCCAGATATCTAAACTTAGACTGGAAAAAAGAACTATAAATGTATTGAATTTTAATGGACATTTTTCCATTGATTTCAATGGGCTATGGATCATGTCCTTGATAATCTAATAGGATCTTTTCATCTCTAACTTCTGTGAATCTGCTCCAGCATCAAAGAAGATAAAAATATTAAGTTTATATTACAAATGAGTATTCCTAGTGCTCCAGTTATGCTATGTAGTGTTTGTTTCATTTGCTTGTATTACACTCAGTTCCAAACTGGGAATATTTATGGAACTGGTGTTTGGGAAATTTTTGGCTGTCTTAGTGTAGCTAACAATTTGTGTATGTGTGTCTGTCCTTATAATGAATATTTAATTTGAGGGCCATGTACACTTTTGTGTGAGTATTTGAATCCCAGAAGGCCATATAACAACTTCCAATTTTTTGGAACCAGCGTCAAAAACTCGTATAGCATTCAATTCTGCATTCAGTGGATACAAGAAGAATTGTATAGTCTGTCTGGTGGGAAATTATGGGATTTTTCATTTCTTAGTTTCACTAGTGTGAGATATAAATGCAGCATTCTGTACAGATTCATTATATAGATGCATGTCTAGCTCCAACTCCAAATACAAAAGGGCTGTCTATTCTGTGAACTGTTAGACTGCCACCAGTATCAGGACTGGGCTTCTCCTGAATCTCTCTTTATAATTAGCATTCACACAGCATAGCACAATGTTTATGTAAACATACCTTCCTCTGCATCAGCTTTTCCTCTGTTGACAGACTTGATATTTACTTATTTGAAGGAGTAAATATTACTTACCAAGGTTGGAAAAGGATATGGTAATCAAGTCTAATAGTAACTATACAGCATATACTCTACTGAACTTGACTCTATTCTCTTCATACTTTTAATATGTAAATCTGTATATTTATCATGTTTTTGTATAACATTTTGTATTTGTAATAGTGCTTTAAACCTGAGGGTACCAGCTTCTACTGTCAGTTACACTGGAGTTACTTTGGATTTACAATGGTGTAGCTGAAAGTATTTCATAGATTTAATAATAGGTACAATAGAAAAAAAATATTTATCCCATTTTATAGATGGGGAAACTGAGATTGTGATGTGGCCAGCTTTAGTATGGTCATCTGTGGCAGAGCTGAGAATAGAACCCTAGCTTTGTGGCTCCAGGCCCTGTCGTGCAGCTAAAAGACTATCCTTCCCCACCCAGTACACTTACAGAATAAAAATGGAAATAGAGGCCCCTATTCAGGAAAGCACTGAAGCACATACTGTCACTTTCAGCACATTTAAAATTAGCACATGCTTCAGTGTTTTTCTG